CAGTCACTGGGGAAAGGTTATTAATATTTTTAAGATTTTTCTTAATTAGTAGAAACTCCCTTCATAAGAAATACTATTCTCTTTCAAATCTTTAGTTATCAACTATGTGAAATGCTTATAAAATCTTTATCTAAATGCAATTGCTTTGTCATAAACTTACTTTAAAACTATAGAAGGTTTATTAGCAATTAAATAAGTTTAACCTCTGTTGTTGTCTCACAAATCTTGTTCTTTTTCATTTATAAAAGCACCATTATTTTCCTATTGTAAGGCATAAAATCTAGGAATTTGGTTCATCAGTTTTCTTGGTCTCTTATTTCTTCATCCTCTCACTTGACACCATATGTACACATTCAATCATCAAATCCATTTTCCTTCCAAAATACACCTTAGCTTAAGATTAATTTTTATATTTATGACAACTTTATAGGTCATCCTTATTACATGCATAACTTTCTAACTGTAAGAGTTAACTTTATAACATACAATCTCTTCCAAAGTTTGTCTCCAACTAGAATGTCCAATGTGTTTGTTCACAACAGTTTGTCTTAATGAAAGTAGACTGTTGGTACACAAAAAAATATCTCAATTCTCTCACCCTGTACATGCCTTTTTCTCTTCTCAAGAAAGACTTTTCCTTCTGCCTAATGGAATCTTGTGCAAATCTATTTAATCTCTTTTAATGATTTCCTAAAGCCTATTTGTAATTTTGCAAGTTCTATAGCATTTTTTAACTATTTAGCCAAATATCTTCTAAACATACATATTCAGAAGTATTATTTTACTTTTAAACATACCTTTATACAAAATAACATGCCTGAACATATATAAACACACATGTGCATATATGTGTGTATGTATAACTTTCACGGGAATTAATTGAATTGCTAAGTTAAAAAATGTATTTGCTTTTATAAAGTCAGTGAGAAGACTGGTGACTAAATTTGAAATTGACTATGAATGACAGAGTCTGACTTGAAATGTTTTTAAATTTATGTCTTTTGCTTTAAAAAACATTTAGCTATTGTTGATGTATACATAATTTTAAATTATGGATCTTTATGGTTCATTTTGCAATCTCAGATAAACTTGTCAGTAAATGGGTATGGCAGAAAAAATTACTTTAATATCTGCATGGAAAGATATAAACAGAAGTTAAATGATTAATAAATGTCATTGTAGTATTAAAACCTACTATATAAAAAATTTATTTTTTAAATAAACATTTCATTCAAAAATATTTAGGTTTACAGAAAAGTTACAAAGTTGGAACCAAGTTTCTACACACATTCAGTTCCCTTTTCTTAATATTTTATATTGGGAAGGTATGTGTGTTACAATTAATGAGCACATATTGATATGTTATTGACTAAAGTTCACAGTTTATTTAGATATTCTTGGAACTTACCATTTGTGTTTTTCTTTATCTTTTAAGAGTTAAACTGCACTTTCAGGATCAAATTTGAATAAGACAGAATTATCAAAACACTCCATGGAGTCATTTGTTTCTGTGAAATACAGCAAGAGCCACATTTTTTTTTTTTTTCTGATTTAGTTACCTGCCTACTGTATGTTTGTCCTAAGCCAACCTTTTATTTATGAAATTATACTTTTCAATAAAAATTGCTTTCTTTTCCATTCCCTAAATAAATTGTACTGTTTAATGCCCCATGCCAATGTTGGCACTCTGCTTGCATGGTCTCTCTCCTTGTTCAATAATAGATTTTGATTAATCCCCTAAAATCATCTCTACTATGTGGCTTCATTCCTAAAGATGCTAATAATCAGTCCACAGTAGATTTAATGTCAGCAAATTTTGCCAAACTGAATGTTCACATTTCCACTCTATCTTGTTTGATTTGTGCCTTTTTTCCCATTTGACTAAATTTAATGCAATTTCCATTTCCTTTACATAGATATGACATATAGAATTTGAGAAACTTACACATTTAACTGAAAGGAAATTCTATACAATTTGATAAAGATTTTTCTTGAAGTGTGTATATGTGTGTGCGCATGAATGTGCACAAGTAGAAGATATTTATTATTATTTTCTTTTTTTTTTTAACCTAGAGTCGAGTCGATAGTCATGTACTGAATTTAACCATTACAGCCAAGAGATTTTTTAGGCAGTTGTCTTAAATTACATTATTTAATGTTAAAAAGTTTCAAAATTAAAATATATTGGATTTGGGGATTGATTGAAAGATTATTAGTTACATAATTTCTTGTAAATTCATTGTAGCTTAATTAGCATTCTGATTATGCCAGTTACAACAATGTCCAAGAAAGTCAGTACTCATATTTGTGCTATTTGTATTACTCTTTCTTGATACAATTTGTTGGTATTTTATTGTTCTTTAACATTTCCATCAGAAGAGAAATAAAAAAGAAACAGATTCAGTGTTTTCCATTTAATTTTGACTACATGTAAAACAGAACAATTGCAGAATGCCAGAGGAAGATTTTCTGTAGGACTAATTTATGCACTAAATTCTTCTTCTCTCTGAATGGGTTTTAAAAGTATAATGAAATTATTATATACCAACTAATTAAGTTAGAGAAGTAAATTCAACTTATATATTATATTCAATTGACCTATGATTTATGTTTATCCACTTGGAGAAGACAGGAAATAGAAAAAGATTATTACATTTATTATTGGTATTTACTATTTTTATAATAGCAGTAACCACTTATTTTAGTGTTGTTGTTGTTGTTATTATTATTACTATTATTTTAGTGTCCAACAATTGTTGGAGTCTTATTTAATCCTTAAAGAGTTAATTTCTATTGGTGCTAAAAACTTCATTATCTCCATTTATAGCTGAGGAAGCTGAAAGTCAGAGTGATTAGGAAGTTTAACTAAGAGCATATCATTTTTATTATTATGTCACAGAGGTGAACTAAAATCCAAATATCAGAGGAACCCTAGATTAAATTTTCCCAGCAACAAACTCAATTATATTACTGGACAGTTAATATTTATCAGGTGATGTACTGGTTTTGGGGATATGCAGATGAAAAGTCATCTAATTCCTTCTAATAAAGAGTCAAATTACCAAAAAAAAAAAAAAATGAATTCCACTCTTCCTGTTTATCCTTACTAAGACTGGAAAGGGTTGGGAAATAACAATTTTTGGAATTAAAAAACCAAATTTTGGGGGGCTGTGAATTATGAAAGAAAGTTTTATAAAGACTGTCATTAGTCTTGAGAACTGATAAATACCAGAACCAAACAGTGCTAGTATAAGTTAGTGAGGATGGGACAAGTTCAACAAATATTTGGCAAGAACTTTAAAAATATCTAAAAGATGACTGGGTATTGAGAGAAGACAAGTGAATAGTTGAGAAATCTTGTTTACCTTAATCTTTTTCAATTAAGAAGTGATGGTACATTAAGGTAAAATAAGGAGTTACAAGTTGTCTTTTTTTTTCAGCATAAACTTCCTTTCTTACCATTACCCTCCATGTTCATTGATCCTAGTCTAAATTTAATCCTGCATTTCTCTTTCTCTGAGTCAATATTATAATATTACAATTTGGAAGCAGAATCTATTTTCACAGGAAGAGGGAACATTTTCAGGGACAGTCTTCAGAATAGAATTCTTAAGTTAGTAAATTCAGGGAAGCATGACAGGTCACCAAGATCCTGAAGTGAGATGGACGATGAGGGAGGAGAAAAATACAGAAAATGAGGGCAGACAGGAAAAATCGGTGTTTCATCAAACAGAGCACAGTACTTGAGAGTGAATTACAAGGACTGCACTTCCAGCTTCCTCAGCAAAAGGATTCCTGTAGTCAAGTAGATACCTGAGAATCTGAAACCTACTAGCAATGCTATAAACAGTAATTACACTTAAGTAGCTTCTTTTGGATGGTCTGAGGATGAGCTATGGAGATTCTGTGTTTCTAACAAAGGATGAGTTTACAATATAGGAGAAAAAAGTGTTTGGATATTAGTAATGATAAAATGTTGCTTCTTAAGCAGACTGCCTGTCTCCAGTGGAAAATAATGAACCACATGGTTGCCTACCCCCTTCTGCCACTCATTTCAACTTGTTGATTTGTTACCTAGAAGAAATCATGCATTGAAGAAAAAGCAATAAGAAAAAGAAAAGCTCTCTGTCCTGTGTAGGTTGACCCTAAGAGTAGCTCTCTGGGCAGCTGGCTCTCTAACCTTTGATTTATCATAAGTTAGGAAATCAAAGGGAGACTCCATATTTGTCCTTCCATTCCATCTCATATACAAAACTCCACTTTAAGCACTCACATGATTCTCAAGTCTCCTGTAAATTTCTGCTTTAAAATGGATGATAGAGCCTTCCTGGTGGTACAGTGGTTAAAGACAGCACTATCAAGCTATCACCAGCCACTGCAGCATGAATTCGATTCCCTGGCTAACCAAGGAGGTTACCCACATGGTGCAGCAGACCTCTTCTGTCTAGCCTGCTGTTCCCCTCAGCAGTGTATTTCAGTAGGTCTGCCTGTTCTGCTCCCCACTCTGTCTCTGGTGAATCCTCTTGCTCCCCTCCTCGCACCTCTGGCCTACACCCAGCTCTTTCATGCATAAATAAATTTAAAAAAAAATCTAAGTTTCTTATTAAAAAAATAAATAAAATGAATGATAATATGAAAAGTGACATGTTCATAAAACTTTAAAATATTCTCTTCATGAGCGTTTCCTGAATGGTTATCAAAAGAACCATGTTGTATTTTAGATAATTTAATAATAAAAGTAACATGGGTGATCTGGGATTTAATAAAAACAAGGGTCTCATTCAAAAGTTAAAATAAATAAAAATTAAATGTGCTAACCACAACAGAAAGAAAAATATTTCAACCACAATAAATAATTCTTAATAAAACAAGGCTATTTAAAAATTTTTATTAATTCACTATTCTATTATATAGTTATCTCTATTGATCAGAAACTAAATTTTTCTATGCAGTTATATGTACTTTGTATCATTTCCAGAATTGGGAAAAGCAGCACTTACCTTTATGGGAAAGCAGTTTGTCAAATGATTCACCCCATATCACTGCTTCTTTGGGGGAGACTCTGTTCAAGAAACAAAATGTTTTATAATGGTGTGTGCAGAAAGTCTGTCTGTGAATCTGCTCTAACATATGTTATAATACTGCTCTTTTCAGTCATATTTCACAGGATTTCTCCTTTATTATACAATGAAGTTATATATTGGAAACCTCAAAATCACTGATCAACTTTCCTTTGTATTTTGCCTATCAAATAATGTGTTAATATAGCATTAAATATTTTCACAAAGGGGGATGAATTATTTTGCAGGAAAAATCACTCATGTGTTAGGTTAAAAAGCACAAAAAACCCAAAAAGTAAGAAATCAAGTCAATTATCTGTTTTATTTTATTTTTTTTTTTTTTTAAGATTTTTTTTTTTTAATAGAGGCATGTTTTTCTTTATTTATTTGTTTGCTTGTTTGTTTGTTTTGTTTATACATGCACTGGGTACAGTCAGAAGCGCGGGAGGGTGAGAGAATTCACCAGAGCCAGAGCGGGGAGCAGAGCAGGCAGAAGGACCGAAGTACACTGCTGAGGGGAGCAGCGGGTGGCAGGAGAGGTCTGCGCACCATGTGGGACCCTCCACTGGTGGCCGGGGAGCAGCCGGGGATTGAACCGGCGCTGCAGAGGCCGCGGGCAGCTTCGCAACCCAGCGCTCAACCGCTGCGCCACCGGGGAGGCCCCAATTATCTGTTTTAATTCAGCAAATAGAAGAACCTAAACTGACAATATCTTTTAGTCAACCTTTTTTTTTAAACTGCAATTTCCTTGAAGCTCTTACCACAATGTGGTGCAATTTTTTTTTTAAACCATACAGGAAGTTTGACTAATGAAGTTTAAAGGGATAAAAAGCCTAAGTTAGTTATTTTGTCTTAGTTCTCTTATTGGTATTTCAAATTTGGAAAAAATTTATATTATGCTAGTGTATAAGGCTATAACATTTTCTATTTGCATTAAACAAATTGCTAGAAATTTTTAAAAAAGCATTCTTTTTTGTGCTTTACTTACTATTATACCCAGGACATTTATTTTCTAATTACTGAGAAAAAAATAGTTCTTCCCTATGACATTATTTCATTGTGAAGCTTTATGTAATAATGAGTGTTTCATCATTTTATAAGGACTAAAATATATCACTTAATACTGACAAGCTCATTATTTTAAAAGAGTACTGCTAAATTTTTATAAAATTATTTAACTTAAGCTATTAAAAGTGGTTTAATTTTATGAAATATTCTTCATTTTTAAAGATGAGATCTTAACCTCCCTTATAGTGCTGTGTAATTTCCAATAAAATAGATATATCCGTGATTTCCTCTTTCTTAAAAGTTTAATGATAGAATCATCAAAATCTCCCACAAATAATTAAAAGCTATTCACCTTGTTTCTTTGGCCAAGTGCCCCGATCTACTTGAGTGGGTTTCTTCGTGAAACTCAAATTTCTGCACAAGAAGACTTAACCTATTTCTCTTTTCCTTTGCTCTGTAAAGAAAGGGTATTAGTTTCCAGACAATTTGGATGACAATCTCTCTTTCTGACTATCGCACAAGTTCAGAACTGGTCATCACTTGAAAATTGCTTCTCATCCACTTATCCATTCCCCACACATTCACAATGATTTTTCTAAAGAATCTCTTTTAAACACTATGTTTGTGGAGGAAACAGCACATGTGAAATATGTTTCTTTTTCTCTCTCTATAACTATAAAGCATTTGAGATTATATTTCAATAAAATGCTACTAGTTCTTCTGTGTTAGTAAAACTGTTGTGCTTATTTATGAAAACACTTAGGATTAGCAGTTGTTAATGTCTAGTAAGTAAAAACATTAATTGTAACATATATTATTACTTGTCAATCTATATTTCAATCAAATATTTTAAAAACTGCTTATTTTCAACATTTTCCATGTTTTTTTAAAGCATAGGCTTATTTAAAAAATCATGAGTTTACCTGATTTTGTCTTCTTTGCTTCCTTCTTCTTTGCTTGAACCATGTATTAACTTGAAAAAAGTTTTTTCTTTTGATTCGCACATATTTAGTTGAGAAAAAACCAGCGGTGTTTCCATCTTCTCTCTAAAATGAAGAGATATCTAATTTTTCAGATCCATCACTTTTTAATGCTATTCCATAATTATGCATGGTAGAATAAAAGGTTCTCTCAACTCTGTCAATAAGTCTTCAAGACTTTTAAAGAAAGTCAACAGCTGGGTTTCTGCCTCTGTGAAATGCACAACTGAAATGACCGAATGCCGTGCAATTCGGTCCTGAGCTGTTTTGGGAAATGATACTACAAATTTGCAAAATGACTCTTGGTCTACAAGATAAAGCCTGGTGTTACCACAATGCAACTTCTCTTTCAAGTTTGTGCAACCCAGTGACGCTTTAATAGACACAAAGGACAGTGTCACTTCCTACAGGAACTTTTTAAAAAAGGTCTTTAATATATGTGGTTGGGGTTAAAATGTGCTGTAGTAGACTACTACATCAAACAAACATTAGGAGATATTTCCCCATGTTCTTAAACTATTTTTACTTATTTTAATTGCATTGAATTAAGTAAATTATATTTGATTGAGATAATGCTATGCAGTGTTAATTACATTTGCAAAATATATTGTATTGTTATAAGACTATATAGATTATAGAATTTTCCAGTTATAGAGCTAGTAGAAAGCTTTTAATTAATTTTTAGGCACAATCATGTGGAGTGATTTTTGACATTTATGAAACTTTTACAAGTCCATGATGAACAAAAGATAATATGGAATGTCTTTTTTTCTTAGGGTTATGCTTTAATATTTCTAATATAAAGGGTTTTCTTATTTTGAATTTGCCCTTTTGCCACTTTTTTTTTTAAGATATTTTTTAATTTTTTTTTTTTTTTTTTTTAATTTATACAAGCACTGGGTACAGTCAGAAGCACGGGAGGGTGAGAGAATTCACCAGAGCCAGAGCAGGGAGCAGAGCAGGCAGAAGGACCGAAGTACACTGCTGAGGGGAGCAGCGGGCGGCAGGAGAGGTCTGTGCGCCATGTGGGACCCTCCTCCAGTGGCCCGGGAGCAGCCGGGGATCGAACCGGTGCTGCAGAGGCTGCGGGCAGCTTCGCAACCCAGCGCTCAACCACTGCACCAAGGGGGAGGCCCCCTTTTGCCACTTTTATTGTTAAAATATTCTCTTTTAATGAAATATTTTAACTAAGATGGCAGTTTGTATGCTTGTTTTATGTTCTTATTAAAAAAAGAAATGTTGACAACTCCAAATCAGTTCAGTTTTTACTTTTTTTCATTGTTTCAAGAAACTCAAATTTGTAAGAAATGCTGATATTGTCCATATATCATATTTTATGTAAAAAAGTTTGAAACTGAGGAGCACAGATATTAAATTTATATTATTGTTAAGTCCTAGAGGTCTGGGGAAGAGTAGATGTGGAATTATCACAGCCTTTGATCACGAGCAGTGTATGCTTCAGTCTGCCCAAGCCACTTGCTTTCTAGTATCAAGTGATTTAACCCCTTTCAAACTGTGTGTTATTTATACGTATTTTAAAATGTAAATACAAAAGAATTTTTACAATTTCTGTACAAATGCAAAAAAAATACTCATTTTTAGTCTTTTTAGTGATTTCTTACCAAGAAAATTGTTGTTAGGGATACCAGCAAGAAGATCAAATCTTTTGCTGAATTAAAATTAAAGGATATATTTAGTATCTATGTAATATACCCTCCTAGTTTCATAACTTTTATTTTAAACATCTTTTTCAATTTGTAATGACTGAAAATTGACTTAAAATTATGAATTAGGACATTTTATGACAAGCTGAGCTGGAACCGGATGCTAGTAATGCAGATGACACTTTGTTCTGATGTCTACTATTTGTTAACACCCACACTCTTTTCATGGGATTTATTTTTGCAGTGGTGAATAAGGATATCAAAGGGGCATAGACATCATACAGTCCATAGTTTATATCTGAATTTCTACCTGCAGAGGCATGATAGACAAACTTACTGAACTATTTTTCATAAGATTTGTTGACATGATGTGCAAGATGTGCAAAGCTTAAAGAAATAGGGAGATAGATATTGTGAAAATATGACATGAACAAACTACTTAAAGTCTGCGCAAAGGTTTGAAAGCAAGTTGGGAGCTATGCAGTTCTGCTCTTTGTGAATAGAGACAGGTGGACGTAGGAGAGAAAACAAAGATCTGAACCTACATGATGACTTCAGCTAATAATCATTTTTTAAAATTTAATTTAATTTATTTTTAATGGAGGTATTATTGGGATACTCCCATCAGGTATCACCACGATTGTGCACCACCACCCACAGACCACTTGCTTCCTTCCCCCTTTGTTATTTCCTCTGTCCCACGCTCTCCCATGTGGTATTTCAGTTCTCTACTTCGTTATCAAGGTTTAGTTTTTCAGCTTGACTTTAGCTGACTATAATATTAGTTTACTTTATGTCCCGCATGTTAGTGACACCATCGGGTATTTAGCTCTCTCCTCTCCTGTTGACTTATTTCACCTAGCATTATCCTTTCAAGCTCCATCCACATGGCCACAAATGGCATGGACATATCTGTTTTTGACTGCTGAGTAGTATTCCATTGTGTACGTATAACACATCTTGATAATCAGTTTTTAGGCAACTGTTTTCAGATACTGAAAGTAGATGGCAGAGACCTGTGATCCTTAACATAGGAAATACAGATAAAGTAAATCCCACAACTTCAATAGCTATATTTAAAGACTTCGGTGCAAGAAAGAAATGTCTCAATAAGAGTCTGAGAAGTTTATAGGAGTGATCATTAAAATAGAGCAAAAGGTACTATTTTGAGGAAATAGTGAGCTGAGTTTAGTAAGAGCAACAGAACTGCAATTGGAGAGAAAAAGTACTAGAAAAAGGAGCTAAAAAAAACTGTAAAAAGGAATCTGAGTCTGGCTGAATGCTCATATGCAGAATGAAATGAGTTATGTATCTCTCTGTTTCCAGTTGTTTATGTTATGAAATAATGTGCTATATTAGTTATGGATATGGCCATCTTTTCACATGGCTCATCTTTTTTCTTTTAAAAAGGTTTATTTATTCAAATGCATGTAAGAACTGGGGTTCAGGCCAGATGAGCGGGAGGGTGAGAGGATTCACCAGACAGAGCCGGGAACAGAACAGGAAGACCGACTGAAACACACTGCTGAGGGGAGTAGCTGGCAAGACAGGAGAGGTCTGCTGCATCACATGGCTCATCTTTTAACGTGATACATGTATACACACATTCATACATTTTATTACCTTTTGAATTCTAGTATTGCTCATAGAATTCTCTTCATTTTCCAACTGATTTTCTTAGATTTCTTTTTTTTCAGATTTATTTATTTATGCATACAAGAGCTGGGGTGCAGGCCAGAGATGGGGGGTGAGAGCATTCACTAGGGACAAAGTGGGGAGCAGAACAGGCAGATCTACTGAAATACACTGCTGAGGGGAGCAGCAGGCCAGACAGGAGTGGTCTGCTGCACCATGTGGGTCACCTCACTCGGTGAGGATTGAACTCGTGCTGCAGTGGCAGCAGATAGCTTCATAGTGCTGTGTCTTAACCCCTTGTGCCACCAGGGACACCTGATTTTCTTAGATTTCTTAATAAATATTAGATTCTTTATAAATATTCATTGCAACAACCTCTTTCCAATCATTATACTCTAATTTATTTATATTTTTTTAGAGAAAGAAAAGGTTTATTGAGGAGAAAAGGAACAGAAATTTTAAAAAGTCTGTTATACTCTAATTTATTTTTAACTTCATGTTATTGGTTTTTAGCTTCATTATAATAAGTTCATAGTTGTCCTTTTTACCTTGGATTGGGAGAAATCAAAATTCACTAAAACGAGCCTTGGTTTCAGAATTATATTTTGTGAACATGTGCATTTATGTAATTATGGTCTTTATTCTCTTATTTTCTTATTATAACTTTGCCTGTAATTTGAATTTTTTTCTTGTTTATCTTCACATGAAATTCATTTTCTTGTAGTTTTAGAATGAGACAGGATTCAAGAATGCTTTTTCTAGCTTTAGTTTATTAAACTTCAGTAATTACAGTGGTAATAGTGCTAGTATTCTGAGAATAATAAAAAGTTAAATAATTAGTGAATATCCTCATATATGATTTCCCATGTCCGTGAAAATAAAATTCATAGTGTGGGATAGGAACATAGAGATTCAATTGAGAAGATTTTAATTAAAGCTTCTCTTGTTTTGAAGTTTGATTGTATCACTATGAACATGGGATGTTGAAACTGTTTTGGTTAGTGTTTCTAGACTTTTATGGTAGACAGCATTTGGATATTTACTTTTTCCTACCTGTAAATATTTTCTATTTCTTTCCACTATCAAATCCTACATAGAGATACTAATGCAGTAACAAACAGACACAAATTGTAGTCTTGAGATGTCACTTCTCACTAAAAGCATCCTAGATTTAAAGAAGACAGCACTGATTCTAGGAAATGTGCAAGCTGAGCCTGGCAAATCTTGCCCTATCAGTTAGCAAGTAACCTCTCCAAAGACTAATGAAATGAATTCAAAATTATTCAAGGGCCAACTTACACTAACCAAAAAGAGACTATTTAAATTTTAATAATTGAAGTGGTTTGAGCAGATCAAATGTATTTACATCTATGAGTGCATGGTAATACTACAAAAGAATTGTTTCTCCTCAGATTATTATAGAAATGAATCTGTTATCATGAAAACTGGTTAATATATGGAAGAATTAAACATACAATCTAAATGCCTTCTCAAATTAACTGCTTATTCACCTAATTATTTCAACCTGCGAGAATTAGTTTTATCAGTTTTATCTAGGAAACACTCAACATTGGGTAGATGATAGCTGAAAGGCCAATAATGTATAGATACTGTGGCCAAGAGTACTTAAGGAAACCCAATGTTGAGTGAAGAGATCAAAACAAGGACACTTGAAGATGCTGAATTTAGAATCTCAACTGTCTCATGGTAATGTTAGACATGTAGGGCAGGAAGGGGATGCCCAAGGAGAATTAACCAGCCAACATAACCAGGACCCCAGGAAACACTTGCCAGAGCTGATAAAGCCTGAGGAAAGCAAAAGCACCAACCTGGAAGGCAGGTCCCCTCCCCAGCCTGCTGCCAGGGCTAATAAAACTGCTTCCCCAGGGCCAGTGGGAGGGTGAGTGACTTAGAAACTGCTGCCTGGACCCATATACCAACACCTGGGAGCACCTGTGCAGTCCACCCCTGG